TTCGCAGCTAAATATGGTCAAGCAATTATCGCCTGTTAATTCGAATAAAAGCCCCAACTTCCCCCACTGACCACAAATTTGGATTAAACGTGCGCCATCCGCTGAACAATGGAATAAATGAACTATCGTTTTTCATGTTCATCGGCTTTTCTGGCACTTTTAATAGGCGGTGGATCTACTAGTTTTCAGCTAGTTTTTCACATGAATATTGTAAGTGACTTAATGGCATACTCTAAAAAAATATTGAAAATTTATGTATGTAGTTTATTTTCAAAACTAATAATTAACTTAGGGCTGATAACTTGGAACGCATGGGGCACTTTGGCTATATCACTTGATTCATTTGCCTCTGACTTTCGCCTGCTCTACCGCTATTTTAATAACGTGCATGCTGCGCGTTTGGGATAACATCTGAATTTATGTAACGACACAAGCACAAACAAAGATGGCAGCCAGACGGGCGGAACGTGAAAAGCGGTGCGGAAAAGCGGAAGAGAGCGGGAGGGGCAGCGACGATTTTCCGGGGCAGGGCAAGAGATGGAGCGAGGAGGGAGCAGGGTCTGGAGGAAAACTCAAATGAAAACTGATGCGGATTAGTATTTAAAATAATGTCCTGCAGGGATATAACTTGTGCCCACCCCTCAAGGCTTGGGCCTGATTCCATTTTCTTGCTGCTTTTATTTTTTCTCACTTGATTTTTTATTCTTTTGTGTCCTTATACTTTTCTGCCATTTTAATTCCTTCGCAGCGATTTTTTCTTTCGGAGAATGTTTCATAAAATTTATATTTGCAGATAAGTGTGCTTTCGGATGGCAGGGAAAGCGGACGTTTTTATTACGGGACAATTTACATATTTTTCTTGTTAAAATTCCTCAACATTCCCCCTCCAACTGGGTGCTTCGTGTCATATGAATTTTCCCCATTTTCTTGTTCCTGAATTAATGTTAATTTTTATTGCACTTACTGTATCGCTGCTGCCCCGCGAACCGATCCCCCATTTCATTTACATTCAAGTTTGTTTGTCTAAGCGAATTGAAAAAAAGAAGGAAAACAAAAAAGCTAAGAGGGAAAACACCAATGGCGGAGTCCAGATGAAAATGTTAATAATAAAACAACAAAATCCGAATGAATGCGTTGCAAATCGAAAAATAATAAAAATCGAATCGCTCCTTCACTCACGATTTTCTGTCCTGTCTGCAGGACATCAAGTCCCCCAGTCGATGCCTCATTACGTATTCCCTGAACAAATTCTATTAATTATCGTTATGTCCTTCTGATGGGTGGCAGCAATACCAGGACTTCCCGCTGTTTGTCCGCTCGTCTCTTAATAAAGGTAACATGGGGATTTTAATTTCTTTCAGTAAAGAATGCGTAGCTCCCCTGAAAAAATGCAATTAATTTGTTTAGGGGAAAATATTTGTAAATGTAAGCGGTATGATTATCCTTAGGGGAAATGTGTGCTAGGGATATCCATTTAACAATCGAAAATCCGAAAATAGTTTTGTGTGCATTTCCCATGTGATATTCAGCTACTAAATTATTCGCAATTCAATTTGCAATGGCCAAATAAAATCACAGGCAGCCAACTAAGGAAATGGGACATCGAGCACTTGTACTGGAATATGCAGAGATGAGCAATTTGTTGTTCTGGAGCCACTGGCGCCCGTCATGGAAAATTCTAAATGTTTCAATCAACTATTCGCAATATTAAATATTAACGTAAAACTCGAGTGGAGTTGTCTCGGACTGACCCTTTCGATGCCGTGCCCAAAAGGTCATCATGTGTCTGCAAACACACTTACTTCGCATGGATACTAGAACGTACACAAAGCGAAATGTTATTTTCCGATTGTTACCTCCTTGAATTGGAGAACATTTTATTTAGCAGGAGCTGTAGTCAGGAATATATATAGGTTTTAAAGTTTATTTTTTCCAGTGCACAGTAGCTGGCAAAGTAATTTTGGACATTTTTCATCATAAACAGCAATGACTATGCTTGCAGTTGGAGGACCCAACCCCTTCTGGGAATTTCTTCCTTGGCCGGGCTTTGATTTCGAATTGGATTTGAATTCGGAATTTTTGGCTTTCAAGGACCGCCGGAGGTTGAATGGGAAATGGCAATGGAGTCCGAGTTGGTCAAGTTGGTCAACGCATAAATATTTCTCTTTGTTCAGCCATCGCATTGGAGCCAAAAAAGAGCATTACGTGAGTGTGCGAGTGAGTGTGCGAATGAGTGTGTGTACCTGTGCACCACACATCCTTGCCTGTCTGCACTCATCCCACCCCACCCCCCGTCTGCAAAACCCCCTCGCACCCGACCCCGCAGCAGCACAAACAAACAAGCAGAAGGACACCAGGTCCTGTGGGCAGCTGGGAGGGATGGTCAGATATGAGCAACGGTCGAATGGTCAAGTCAAAGTTATTGTCATGTCATGTAAGTGCCAGCCACCCGACGTTCACACCCCTTTCAGGATCCTGGCTCGGTCAGATTTTCCAATTTCATCTTCATCTTCATACAGTACAAGTATGCCATTTGGGTTTCCCTTTGCGGCACACAGTGGGCACCAAAATTGTTTTTCACAAAACCTTTTCAAATAGATTGCTGTACATATTCCTATGTGAACTAACCAAAACATAGGTTACACTTTCTTGTTGGTCGATTAAAAGTGAAGAAATGTTGTATGTATACTTACAAGATATCACTTAAGACAAAATGAGATATTTGCGCAAAATCTTTTGGTGAAAATATAACATTTACGAGTATTAACAACTTTACTCAATTTTTTGTTCTAATGGAGAAGCCACTTGACGTGGAAGTTATTTGATGAAAAGCTGACACACGTGCGCCGAAGTTAAATGTATACACATCTGCCAAAAAAGCATTATCAGAAATTCATCGAAACTTTTCACTGGTTTGGAGAGCGCAGGGGGGAGATCTTGTTCGAGAAAAGGTTTTCCCCGTAGGTTGGGTAAAATGTAAATATCGGTGGTAATGGCCGCCGCCCCAGGAGGCGGAAAAATCAACTGACCAGTAACTTTGGAGCCAACTTTGATGGCATCTTGCGAAAGTTGAAAGTGACTTAAGTGAAATTTCCACCTCAGGCGGCTCAGCAGGACGACCTCGTCCCCTTTTCCTTGCATTTTCGAGGGGTCACGCCATGAACATGAGTAAAAATTAAATTGATTTTCCTCGGACATTGTTCAGACCTGTTCTGAAACTCGGTGTGCTTTTCTTGTTGGCCCTTCATGGTCTTTTGTCAACCCTATGGATTTCGAATACATTTTTTGTCGCATCCCTCTGAAAACTTAAGCTGGGCGAACTGCTTCAACTCGCCTATGTCGCATATTAAATTGTGGTGCTACCCTGTATTTTATTGACTCGCTTTTGCAAATCAGCCAAGAGTGTCTCGCATCTGGCTAAATTTTTAGCCAGCAAAATATTAACTTGAGAGCTTTTCCCCTGCAATCTAGCAATCCGCATTACCATTCCTTTTCCACTCGACTTAAGCGACAATTTCATTTCAATTAAATTATAATTATATCTTCAGTTTGGCCCCATCAAGTTTCAGTCAAACAAAAAGTACAATTTTCATTTTCACCTTGCGAAAGACGAGGCGGGCGTTGATAATTCCCCAAAATTGTTTGACACTTCAAAGTCATTATGAAGATAGCAATCACCAACCCCCTTCCTCGGTCCGCTCAACTTTTCTCCAAGGGTCGTGGCATTTCTTCACGGCATTCACTCCCTCCCACTCCCAAAGGCCAGCAATCCTTCAGCTCCATCCTGCCTCGTCCTCTTGCCGCCACTTTACTCAATCCTAAGATGGGAATTGCCACGTCTGTCTACATGCCTACATACCCGCAGCGCTTTTTGATGTAATTTTGGCATAAGCCAAAAAATGTTGCCTTTCTCGAGATGTCTTTGTCTCCAATCCACTCCACTCCCGCCGAGCGGTTTCCGAATGCGACACGCTCTGACAAATTCATCCAGGGAAAATGAGGAGAATAGCTGAAAATTAAATTTGGAATTAAAATTTGGCCCTGGGCACATAACTTTATGCCGCTGGATTTTCTTCCGCCCAAAAGGGCTTCCGTGCTTACGGATGAATCCTTGAGGCAACCAAAGGCATGATAATGGCTAAGCAGAGTCTCGGAAATTAAGACGATTTAGTTGTTTAATTTTACTGGGTATGACTGGCTACCGATAAGAGAGGAAGCTTAATAAGGATGGAAAAAGTAATGAGGTTATAAAACATCAGTTTCACAATTAGAGTTTAACAATGTTGCTAATATAATGTTGCTAATGTTGCTTATATTATTAATTTATGCTTTTAATCTTTTTAATCTTACCTTTAATCTCAAAAATCATGCGCCGTCAATGTCCCGCCAAATCCTCCCATGTCCCGCTAAAGATCCCGTCATGTCCTGCCATTTCCCGCCATGTCCAGCCATTTCCCGCCATGTCCCGCCGATGATCCTGCCCTGTTCCGACGATCAGCATGTCAGCTTCCAATCTCCAATCTCTGATTCCCGGTGACGAACTCACTACTGATAAAATACCTGGAAAGAAAAAATACGAAATTATTGATCTTTAGAATCTATACATTTTTTAGAACAATTTACAAGAAAGTTTTTATTACATTATATGTTATTTCAGTACTTGTATCTGAGAAATGTCCCGTTCATGATTTTACATCATTCGAATTTTCCTGAGCGAAAAATCGAATAAAATTTGAAATGTAATTGTATTGATAAAAACTTTTTTAAGACTATGTGCTTTGATATAAAATGGGTTCCACTCATTTATATTCCCGTTAAACTTTGTTCTAGAAATTAGTATTCTATTCCTGCTTTTCGGGTTTTCCATTTCCCCTCTTCCCATGAACTGGTTTATTTTATTTTCCCTCTTAGCCAGATGTCTGCAATACGTAGCGGAGTTTTCTTTCTGCAGGTAGAGAATGACTCTGATATCCCACTTAAGTCCCACAACAGGTAGAATACTATTCGGCTACCTACTTACACTACCAAACCGTGGTATAAAACTCAATCATGTTGTAGAACTGCCTCAGTACTGAAACTTCTGCCACGATGAAACTACTGGTGCGCTTTCTCGCTAAGGAGTCCCTCATTTAAAGTCTAACTCCATAATTGTATAATTATAGATTGCTCTTTTTGCGCTGGTAGGCGCTGTCATCGCCCAGAATGGATACGGCCAAGGTGGACAAGGACCATATGGAGGACAAGGACCATATGGAGGACAAGGACCATATGGAGGACAAGGAGGCTTCGGAGGATACGGAGGACTCGGCGGGCAAGCAGGTTTCGGCGGACAAATAGGATTCAACGGTCAAGGTGGAGTTGGTGGCCAGTTAGGAGTTGGTCAGGGTGGAGTACGTCCGGGCCAAGGAGGATTGGCCGCTCAAGGCCCACCAAATCAGTATCAGCCTGGTTACGGAAGTTCCGTGGGTTCTGGCCACTTCCATGGAGGTAATCCTGCTGAGTCTGGTTATAATCACGGAAATCATCATGAATATCCGGAACATCATGGCGATCATCACCGGGAACATCATGAGCACCACGGACACCACGAGCATCACGGACATCATAGGCACTAGCCCTAAGGGTTCTTTGTAAATGTCTTATATCCAGGATAAAAAAAGAAAATGCTAAATAGAATGCTATAGTCGAGTGGAAGTGCAAAACGAGAAATTTAAAAATTTTCTGGAATATAGGTAGAAACTGGAAAAAAGTAATAAATGAAAAAAAAAAACTTGAAACTTTTTAAAAATGTGGGCGTGAGAGTTTTGTGCGTTTCGTGGGCGTTAGAGCGGGCGTGGCAACATTGGGAACACTTGCGCTGCGTCTCTGGAAGCTGCATGCTTAATCTCAACATTCTAGCTTTAGTAGTTCCTGAGATCGAGGCGATCATACGGACATGGCCAGATCGACTTGGCTATTCATCCTGATCAAGAATATTTATACTTCATATGGTCGGGAACGCTTCCTTCTGCCTGTTACATAATTTTCAACAAATCTAGTCTTTTAATCTACGAGTAACGGGTATAATTACAAATAAAATTAAATTAAACAAATTTTCTAAATATGTGTGCAAAGTATTTTTTAGAGTATTGCGCCAGAAACATTTATAGATATGCCACTTCAAAATCCGATTAAGATAAGTTGAATTATGGAGTTTAGGACTTCAGCCTTAAGACAAAATTACAAAAAAAAATTAATTTAAAAAAGTTTCTAAAATTAAATGCAGGTTTTTAGATAATTGAATTTTTGTGAATTTCTACATCAAACAAAATTATCTATTCTACCTATCTATTTGTATCTATCTATTAATATTGCATTGTCGAAAGTGCAGATTTGATTTGTAAAAGTGATTTTTTATCTAAAACCCTCTTGGGAACCACCACGCAACGCGACTTCTTGAATTTCTGTACCTAAAATGGAAAAAACTGAGTCCCACTAAAAAGTAAATAAGGAAACGGAACCCTTTACTCTGTCCATTCTGGTTGAGGCATCTATAAATTATTTTGCAGATAGCATACAAGCATATACCCCACATCCCATCTCAACTTTTGCAATCCGAGAAAAGGATGCCGTCGACCGCTCCCCAGCGACATTTTCTGACCAGCGCAGCTGACAGAATTGAAAAATAAGCGAAGTCCGACTGAAGGGGGCGGGGCAGGGGCGGTGGAAGGTGGGGTGCAGGTGGGTGGAAAGGTGGGGTGCTGAAGGTGAAAAATAAAAAATGGCGTCCAGTCGAGTGCTCAACCTCAAGATTTATAACGAAGGCAAAAAATAGAGGCGAGGATGGGAAAAAAGAGCACACGTTAAAATAATGCAAAAGCTGAAGAAAAATAAAGGAAAAATGTGCGGGAAAAACGGCCACCCACACGGCCAAGGAAAGAGCGAGAGGGAAACCGCACACACACTGAAACACGCAGCAACGGAAATGGAAAGGATAAAATTAATTTTTCTCCTTTATTGCCATTTACTTCACCTGCTGCTGCTTTCTCGCACTCGCTCGCGCTTTTCCTCGAAGGAGAGCGAAAAAGTGGCCCGGAAAAGGAAAAGCGGGGCGGCACCCAGTGGGTGGGTGGTGGTTAAAGGGTGACCCACCCAAGCGGCAACATTGCTGACGCTATCAAACACCACAAACACATTTAGTTTGCGGGAATTTGTTTTTGCGTCGCTCACTTTTCTTGCTGCCTCTGCTTCTTCTTTTGGCAATTTGCGCCATAAAAATGTGCAAAAAATTGCAACAAAATAAAAGCGGTATAAAAAAGCCATGAGAGGCAAGAAGAACCTGTCCGACAAATAAAAATGGCATAAAAATATTCCACTTACCTCAGAGGTGCGAATCGGGTGCCCAATACACTGCGAGATATAAATTGCTAGTTTACAGATATTGAAATATAAAAAGAAATGGTGTAATGTATATGTAAAGGAGGAGTTCTGCAATAACTCTTTCTTATAGAAGAGAATAACTTTTTGAAATTTTTTACAAGATTCTTACTTTTATATTAGAACAATTTTAGATCGCAGATTTGTACTTCGCATCGCTTCGATAGAGCACTTTTTGTGGCAGTGCCGAAACTTTCTTCTCCGCTTTCTTCATTTTAGAAGAACTCAGTCCGTACTATAAAATATCTATAATAAATCTACTTTTTTCAAGAGCAAATACTGAAAAACTCACTGAAGCCTCGTCAAATGAAAAAGATGGCGAAAAGAAGGGAATTTAATACAAAAAGTCGTTCACATGTGAAGGGAAAGGGCAGATGTAGCCGTGTCCAGTTCAAAGGGAATAAAAAAGTGGAAACCAATAACAGCAATGGGGATGCAGGACAATCCACAGGAGGAAAAAGGAAACATATCAAGCCGAGGCGAAGTGAAGCAATAAAAATGAAATGGGAGTACCAGGAAATAGGACGGGAAATATTATGTCCCCTCTTCTGGATCAGATAACTAGATGAAAGTAGAAATAGGATGACCTCACCCAGAGTCCAGCCAAAGTGCGCCCTTTTGCAACCCTTCGTTAATATTGCGCATACGCAATGTGCGACGACGCCATTTGGGGTGGGGAATTATGAAAGTGACCGCAGGAATTATGAATTTGCTCGCTAGTCCCAGCCAATCGGAAAAGCACCCAACCACCCAACGTCATTTCAGCCAACCACAGGAAGCGCTTTTTGAACCTGCGCTTATTGCATAAAGTTATGTGTATATATCATAAATCCATAACGTGCCATACACCCTCTTTTCGGAGGAAAAAACCCAACAAGGCTCGGTTGTCGCTGGCTTCAAATTACAACCACAAACACAACGGAAATGGGGGCGATCGAGGGGGTAAACAGCCCTTAGAATCCACCCACATGCACGCACACTGGCACATTTCGCTTAAGTCAACAAACCACCGAAAAGAAAGCGACTTTGGGGGTGAAATACCGAGTCCGGCGGCAGCACCCTCAATGCCACCCAATTATAACCGAATGGGGAAGTCGGGGTTTCTGGGTGGGTGGAATGGGTGGAATGGGTGGCTTATTCGAGCTGCACGCTTTGTTATTGTTTCATTTTTCTCGTTTTCCCTTCGATTTTTCTTCTATTTATATACGTGCCAGCGAGTGTGTTTGTATTTATGTGGGATATAGCCAGGACTCGCAAGATACACGTACACACGTACACACGAGCATTCGGGCAAAGTTACTGCGATACGTGCAACATCATAAAAAGGACAAAACAATAACAATAAAAATCATATATACTCATAGCCCGGCCAAGACCACACCACCCACTTACACCACCCCCATCCTGCTGTATATGTGTGGGTTTATGTGAAAATAAACGAAAACCGTTAAGATATGAGCGTCCACAAGGCACACAGAGTGAAACTCCCCGCAGCACCTCTTTAATGTTTATTTCTCTCGGAGATCGACTATCAATGGTCAACGCCTTTTATGTATCCTTGCGTATATTAGGTTTTAGTAACAGAGCCTGACTAATATCAACTTTTCTAAGCATATGAACATTTTCAAGTTTGTCCTGTCTCTTAACACCACTAAAAGCATATGATATTCCCATTTACTTTATAATTTAATTACCTGGTAGTAGCATAGTCCCTGTATCTAGCAGTTGCTTTACAGTCGAGAACCCACAACAGAGCACTGAGCATCTCATCCTGCCCGTGGCTGCTTCTATGTGGCATATGGCATGTCAGCGCCTCCTAGACTGGACGCCATCGATTTCCCTCAGCGGCAAATAAAAACACATTAGACCAGCTAAGAACCTCATTTATGGAGAGGGATGGCAGTGGGATTTGAAAGATGGCCACGGCAGAGCCAAGGATACGACGTTCGCCGTTTGGCTTGATAAAATGCGTTAAAACGAAAATTAAGCAACACAATTAATGGACTCGCTTTATCATACAATTTTAATGGCTCAAATAAATTGGCCAGAACTAGCCCCGGAGAACGGAACAGAATGACCGGACTGAATCTAGAGCACACTCTCACTCTCCCCTCGTGGGTAGATGGAAAAGTTTTTGTATTTCTTTGTCTGCCTTGAGCACATTCCCACAAATGGATATACTCGTACTTCACATCCAACAAACATATTTATGTATTTGACTAGCTTCTATTTTCACGATTTCATTTAGCGCTAAGCTTAATTAGTTTCAGGTCGCTGTTCGTCTGCGATTCAAGCCAATTCAATAACGTCATCTTTGGGGAGGATTATCCAAATGGAAACCTAATTGGGATATTGGGAGTCTGTCTTTGGTTTGTTATAAAGCACAGGTTTCTAGGAGGCGTACCTTTAGGAATAGTATCTAAATTCCATTTTGTAAATACCAAAGTCATATAATTTGTTTATCGCTGGGTAACACCAAAGACACTAGAATAATAAGATGAATAAATATTTTAAAATAAATATTATTACATTTAAAACAATTGTATGAATAACATTTGACCGGTTACTTTGTGCAAGTAACACATACATACATACATACATACATACATACATACATACATACATAAATACATAAATACATGCATACATACATACATACATACATACATACATACATACATACATACATACATACATACATACATACATACATACATACATACATACATACATACATACATACATACATACATACATACATACATACATACATACATACATACATACATACATACATACATACATACATACATACATACATACATACATACATACATACATACATACATACATACATACATACATACATACATACATATATACATACATACATACATACATACATACATACATACATACATACATACATACATACATACATACATACATACATACATACAAACAAACAATCAAACAAACAAATAAACAAACAAACATAGATACATACATACCTACACCGGTACATACACTACACTCACTGCTCGACCGGTAAGAGAGATTACTTGAACTACTTTGCGACTCTAAATTAGAAGACATGCCTTACCGTCTTCACTAGAACTAGTTGGGAATTATAGGGCTACAAGAAAATATTTTTCCTAAGCAAATATTAAAAGCGGCAATAACTATGGGTTCCGACAGTAAGTTAACCATTCTTCAGGCTTTAATTAAGACAATTTTTACTACTTTGTGCAAGTAACACACACTACATACACACACTACATACATACAT